GTTGCTGTGTGTATGTGACCACTTGAAGACTTACAAATAACAGTGCTGTTGAGGCTAAAAAGTTGCTGTCAAGGCTGCTATGGGAGGTCTAATTTGGTTCTAGAGGCTTGAGGTGAAAAGTAGAGGTTGAAGCAAGTTTGAATCACCTATTTGCATCTGCAGAAATCAGGTTTAATCTAAAAAAACTCACTAATACTGAATATAACACTTCTGAGCTTGTTATTTGAGGGTTTTGAGATAAATTTGTTGCTGTGGTGATATTATTTGATTTATATGCTATGAGCTATGTGTTTAACATCTGAGCATGAGTATCTTGATGATTTGATGCTGTTAAAGTTGGATTTATCTCAGAAAATTGGCCAGTTTCAATAATGACTTTTTGAACCACACTTCACACTAGGGTTTTGACCTTGTTTGTTGAGGATTGAGAACTGAATATGAAATATGTTGTCTCCATTGCTGTGATTACCTTTTAAACATGTGTATAATACCTATACAATGTTGTGAAAACCTGAACTAGTCCTGAGCAAGTCGAAATTCCAGAATGCCCTAAGAATTAAGTTACTGCTGAACTGAGACTAAACTAACCTGCTGTGTACTGTAATCTTTTAACATTTGTGTTGAATTGCTTTACCTTGCTTTGTTCTTGATTCTAATATGTTAAGCAAGTGTAAAGGGAAATTTGGGAGTTGAGGTAACTGAAGTTTAAACTGAATTGGGGAGCTACATTATTTAAACATTGGTGCTGCTACTAGCTGAAATATTCTGCAGAAACAGGTTTATAACAGATTTTGTGGATGAAATTGAAATGTTAAATGAAGTGCATGAACTCTAAGCTTTTGTGAGAAGATGAACCAAGTATGTGAGAATATTTTCCAAGTCTGAGACCTCATAGAATACCTATTATACCCTCGAAATAGAGGCATTACAGCAGTACCAGATTAGACCTTGCAGAAATAGAGTTGCTACTGATTTTGTGCTGTATTGACCTTTTCTTGCTGTGGTTACTGAAGACACTCTGTGTGCAAGTGTATTGTGATGATTTGTAGCTGTGGGAACCTACATTTGATCAAGGCTCAGAGGTCTTGACAGAATTGCCCTTGAAAGCTTGGAAGCTAGGGTTTTGGGTTCTTCAAGTCTATTATGAACTGAGATTCTTATACTTTGCTCCATTCACTGCTATAACCTATAGAGCAAGTTTATTTTGTGATATCAAGGCTGTGAATATAGAAGAACAGTCAGTGTTGAAGCTACAGGGTGATTTGACAGATTTACCCTTGTCTAGGGTTTTAAAGCCTTATGTGCTGAAATTGTTGTTTACTTGCTGTCCATTCTCCAAGATTGATTTGAGCAAGTTAGTTGAGCTAATTCAAGGCTATGGGAACCTAGTGTGAGCTACAAGTGAAGCTGCATTGTGATTGACTGATCTACCCTTCTTGTTGCAGTGAAGTGAAGCTAGGGTTTCTTCTGTTTCATACTTATAGCTGAGTATCCACTCTTATCTTGTGTTGAAGCTTAAGTATCATGAATGTGGTGTGTTGACACCTTTATTCATTGTTGATCAAGCCATGAAAGTTTTGTGTGTCCAAGCAGGGTTGCTTAGGACAGGGGGAGTGCATGTGTGCTCATTGTTGTTGCTTGTGTATGTGTAGAGGGAGTGAAAGTCAGTGTCCTAGCTAGTACAAGGTGTGTGGAAAGTGGGGCAGCTGAGTGGGTAACTATTTGCATACAACAAGTGAAGATGAAGAGCTGGTGTGTGTGTAGTGGGTGTGAAAGTCAATGTTCTTACTTGTACAAGGAGTGTACTGAGAGTGAGACAGTTGAGTGTGTAACAACTTACATCACCGAGTGGAGCTTTTATTTGCAGAAGCCAAGAACCAAGGTTTTTCCCTATTGATAGGGTTTCTTTGTAAATCTTGTGTTGTGTTGTGTCTTCTTTATTCTTCTTCTCTTAAATGTGTTTTGATTCTCAAGTTTGTTTGAAAAGAGGAAAGAATTTACTTAGACCAATTCACCCCCTCCCCCTCTTGGTCTAACAGGTTTAAAGGTGAGTGTTGTGAGGAGAGAGGAGAGTGTATGTAATTCCTGAGTGTATACATGTAACCTCAAAAGAGATGATGAGCGAGTGAGTGGGGTTTTGACATGTGGTTGTATATTCTTTTTCTTGATTCATAATAGTGAAATCTCTTTCTCCCATAGACGTAACCTTAGAGTTGGGTGAACCATGTAAAATATTGTCTTGTGCGTGAATGTGTGTGATTGTTATTTCCATATATACTTGTGTTGAAGTGATGTGATAATGCTTTCGCTGTGTGTGATGAATGAGAGATTTAACTTTCAATAATAGCCGATCGTTGAGTGGATTGAAGGGAGTTAATTATCCCCAACAAAAAGTGCATACGTTTAAATTTATCATTTTGATTTCCTTCTATCACATCAATAACAATTATTTTTGAGAACAAATATTGGGCATATGTTAATTATTGGACATCCATGCACTTTAAAAAATTAACATCCATATATATCAAACACTGGTAATGTGGAATTGGAATCCACTCAACGGTATTAGTGCAAGAGTTTGGGTAATTTGGATTTGGAATCATACTTGATGGTATTAGTGGGTGGTACAATCCTGAATTACACTAAGAAAAAGAGCACAAACATTGTCATCATAGATAAATTGGGTTTTTATTTTTTTATCATTTCTTGTTAATGTCCAATTCAAGTTCAATAGTCGCAATTATGGAAATGAATGATATTATTCACATTGATTTTTCAAATAAACACATATTGTATTTTTTTACAAGTGTTTTACGGAAAAAAAAAAAAATTATGTGTAAAAAATTTTTCAAACCATATAAAAATTTGTACTATTATATAAAAATAATAATGTATTAATATTAATATATAATGTATTATTTAAAATTTTAAAAAACACTTTATACCAAACATATTTATTGTTTTTGTTTCAACAATTTTGGCAACAGTCAGACTCTGCTAAACATGTTTTATTTTTAAATTTCTTGAAATGAAAGATGTTGACAAACATGTTATACATGTTTTTGCTTCTGAAATTCCTACTGTTGACACCCATTTTGGTATTTGGGCCATAAAGGTATTTGGGCATAAAGATATTGGGCTGGAGGCATGCGTTGTTGGACTAAACAATGGATTTAGGTTGAGACCGAATTGCTGTTTGATAAGGAATTGGTTTAGTATTGGGCCGATTGCAAGATGGGACCCAAATTGTTGTTTGATAAGGAATTGGTTTGGTATATGGGTTGATTGTAAAATGGGTTTTGAAGGAAACGGTTATGTAGGTTAATATAGAGCATAACTAGCGTGTAAGGATTGGGTTGAATTTTAAAATGGATAAGGATTGCAATTTGTAGTTTTTATCTTTTGGTTAAGGTTAGCTAAGTATAGTTTATCAATAACTTAGTTTGTTTTAGTTTAATAATTAGGCTATCAATGAATTTGATTTGGATTTAGTAGTTAATTATGTGATAGAGTTTGATGTATTTAGAATGCTTGTATTTAGGAAGATAATTTATGTTTTTCTATAAATAAGAAAAGAGGCATGCTGTGAAAGAGGTCCAGCACCCTTAGAATCAATTTATTATTTTGTTTACTTTCTCAAGCACTTTCCCCAAATAGCATCATTGCTATCTGTATCTCTCTCTCTATTTCAATCTCGTTCTATTTCTCTCCCCATATCTCTTTCTCCCTATCTCTTCTCCCTATCACTTTCTATATATATTTCTTCCCCTTTCTATTATCTTGATACGTTACTATAAATTGTTTACTGGAAAGTCCTTTTAACTAAGGCAATTTTGAACCTAAAGAGGAATTTTTCTATTCCCTTTTTTCCTTGTAATCGTCTGAAAGTCAACTCGCTTAAAAGGACTAAAGTTGACAATCCACACATTGAACCATATATTTGGTTCTGGCACGCTCGCTCCATCTCAATCTAAGATAGGATCTTAGGAGCCAATTTTAGCGTCAACATTTTTGGCACGCCATGTGGGCAGCGGCGGCTGGATCCTTAGGCGAGTTAGGCAGTTGCCTAAGGCCCCATCAAATAAGAAGGTCTCATAATTTTTTATTTCTTTATATATTATAACTTTTCTAAAACAATTATAATATTTCCTTTAATTATTAAACTTTAACGTATAGAGAAATTTGACAGTTGACCTAAAAGATTTCTATTCTTTATATATTTTTTTTTGAGGGGCTCCCAAATTTTTTTCCTTTATATATTATAACTTACCGAAATATTTTATTTTCTTATATTATTAAACATCAACAAATACAAAGTGCACCCAAAATATTTCTATCCTTGTATTATTATAATTTTTATTTTTATTTTTTTTTGCTCTCTCTCACCCTCATTACATCAGCATATACACACACTAAATATTAAATATATATTTTAGTGAAAATTGGTGAAACTTTTTATATTTTTCTAAGACTCCTATTAACTTTTATTTTCTCTTTTTTTCTTACCCCTTATATATTTTTTCTCCTCTCTCATTATAATTTTTTTTTTTTTTCATCTTTTCCACTGTTACAATTTACAATCTCACAATCTCACTCTGTAATAAGATTTTGAATACATTTATATTCTATTAAAAATTTATTAGAGTATTATACCAAATTATTCGAAATCAGTTTCTATTATTCTATAACTTAAATTAGTTTATAGTTTTATTAATTTTTGTTATCATAAAATTATATATTTTGTTTATAATTTTTCTTTATATTGTTAAATGTGACTATTAGAAAGCATGTGGCCAATTAATTAACAATGGAACTAGAGTTTGGAAAAAATTTAGTGATAGGTTTAAAAATCACAAAATAAATAATTAGCATAATACTGATATAAATATATGGGTAGATTTAGTTAAAATGCCACTTTATTTTTTTTCGCCTAAGGCCTCAAATAACATTGAGCCGCCCTTGCCGGTGGGACCCATTGGGTGAATAATTTATTTACAATGATGCCTCCCAAGAGAAACACAAAGAATATGAATTCAAATGATGAAGAAGACGAGGAAGTCCAGCCAACTGGTCAAGCCGGATCTCATACAGCAGGAGCTTCTTTCCCGTCGGATGCTCCATTTATGCAAATACTTGAATCCATTAGGTAGGGAATGGAAAACTAGGAGGCCCGTTTGGGAGCTCGCATTAATGGGATGAGTCAAAAGGTTAATGCTCGCATGGATGCGATGAATCAAAAAATGGATGCAGTATCAAATTAACTATCGGTGGTTCAAAGCCGATCTGATCAGGCCGAAGCCTCAAATGTGCATGAGTCATTGGTTCGGAAAATTTCTTCATCAAAGGCGATTATCCCTGAAGAACCAAGGACAACAATGATAGAAGCAATGTTGCAAAATCCGACTCTCGGAATGCCAATTAGCATGATGCCAATTCAACCGTTAGGTATTACGATTGGCAGTGTGCCGAATCCTACTATTGGCATACCGATTGGTAACTAACCAATATTATCAGATCCACCTGCAGTAACAGTAGTACCGATGTATCAACCACCGTTGATTAATCAACATAATCAGAATGAGCAACGTCCACCAATGCAGCTGATCCCAGTGGTGAGAGATCGGTAGGAGTTGGTTGAAAACCAAAACCAAGGCAGGGCTAATATATTGGTACCTCCGGCGGCTGCTGGGGGCCAAGGCAACGCTAATCAACAACGAGAATGGGTTAATCCATTCATTCCGTTACACCCAAATGATCCTTCGGGACAAAATGCAGGGATCAATAGGGCTCAAATTCTGGCTTTAATACAAGCTGAGGTAGTACAGGGACGCAAACATGCTAGACCAGTATACAGAAAGCCTTATCCCGATCATGTGATACCCATGAGTTACCTAGAAATTATTGGTATCCCAATTTTTCTATGTATAGTGGTGAAGAACATTTTTCTACGGTGCAGCACATTGCGAGGTTCACAGCACAATGTGGTGAAGCAGGCCTTAGTCCTTGGTTGAGGATGAGGTTATTTTCTAGCTCTCTTGCTGGGGCGGCATTTGAATGGTATAGCAATTTACTAGCCAACTCTATTCAGACATGGGACGAAATGGATGAGGTTTTTCATACTCAATTCTACCAAACAGAGACAGAAGCTATGCTGGAAAATATATCACGTTTAACTCAGTTGCCGAGCGAATCGGTAGAAACTTTTATTGCTAGGTTCAGAAAGGCTAAACTCAAATGCTGAGTAAGTTTGCTAGAACCAGAATACATTAAATTGGCATTGAATGGTCTAGACATTTGTGATACCCCCGGATTTCCGGATGCGGGTTGACCAGGCCCACGCCCGATTACCCGATGATACCAAATCAATTAGTAATAATCGAACACAGAATACAATTAAAACAAATGAGATAAATAAAATTTGCAGAAATGAAAACTAAAAATGATAATCCAATAACTGAAACCTCAGAATAAATAATTCCATTGATAAATAAACTATTCTGTTACAACTGATCCTCCACGAATACAAAATGTTCTCCAAATTATACAACTTGGGAATCCATCTAATGGACCCCTAAAATATCCCACTGAACTCAAATGACTGGAAATAAAACCAAAGCCTAAAACATGAACAAAGTCCTACAACATCGGTGGAGTGAAATGACTGTATCTACTCAGCACGATCCAGCTCTAAGACTGGAACTAACAAACACCTGTAAAAATAGGAGTGGGTTAGGCCCACATGCAAATTCTTCTCTAACTACAATCCAAACAGTGACCCGATACGTAGATATACCCTAGATATCTCAACAATAGCTATTTAGTCTATACATATATATATATATATATATATATATATCCACACTAAGAGATATTCACTGGACTACAGTAGGGGTCTCAACCTGAATAGAAGGTAACATGCGAAAACGCACCCAAAGGTAGGCATGAGTACCTAAACCTAACAGGGTACACCTCAACCTACTATAGTCAGCTACACATCCACTGCATGTACGCACCCTAACCAACGAGTCTGAGACTCAAGCTCATCTCGTGGTACCATAAACATATATATAAAGTCCGTCCAAAACCAAGGTATGTAGTTCAAATATTTATTAAACTGACATACAATAAACCAATTAGTTAGTCACTCAACTTATTCAGTTGATATGACTTAACTACCATCCATTAATCCAGGAAGTCATCCAACTTAGTTGCAGTTGATCTGACTTAGTCATAATTAGGATTCAATATCTTTTAATCCATTCCATTAATCCATTAGGTTAGGTTTATGCGTTTTGAGCTAAACCGTCCCCAGTATGTCACCATCCCATACCTGTGCATACAATCCTCCATATCCATGTAAATTACAAAACATAAATAATAGGCTAGTAATTTACAGTCTAAAACCAATATCCAAATCATTGCAGAAATAGGTTTAAAATTTCAGCAATTTATATTCGAGCACTTAACCATATAGTTGTAAGAAATGCTTTAATAAATCAATAACTAACATCCAGAGCATGCATAGATCCAATTTAATATATCAATGACTCTATCATGCATTAAATAAATTCTATAATCATATTATAGTCTGATACATTGCTAAAATAACTGTAGAAGATTGATTAATGCTTTAGCAATTTAAAACCAAGCATTACTCCATATAGTTGCATAAAGGATTTAATACTTCAACAATTAGCCTCCAAAGCATGTATAGATCAACTTCAATACATCAATGACCCTATAATGCATTTAGAACAATTTTCCAAACATAATAGATCCCACTGGAAAATCCAAAAACAAGCTTAAGTATTTAAATCATCATCCATCCATTAACCGTATACAATGTGCATAAATTTTATACGGTTTGTTCCGTTAAGTTAGAATTAAACTTTAATCAATTTAGAGTCTTAATAACACCCAAAATTCATTCCTTAGTCCCTCTGTAAAGTTCCAGATCCACTCAAATAGTCTCCATGATCCAACAGTGTTAAACAGTACGTAGAAAAACTAAAAAAAAAATATCAGAATGCAAAATTGAAGATGGAGCTTACTCCAAATTTTGGGAGCAGGCTCTTTTAGCCTAGAGCTGGCTCTAGGAGTCCTTGGAGCCAGCTCTACTTGTGTGGGAGCCGGCTCCCACATCCATGGAGCCGGCTCTCACCTCCTTTGAGAGCCTTCGTCCCCGTTCTGCTCCGTTTCAGTCCATCTGCTCCCTCTCTGATCAATTCCTACCACTCTATTGGGTTCTAAAACTAATCTTAGGAGTTTTAATTGAGTCTAAAAGCATCCTCAAGGTTGTTTACAATAACTGGGACCAATTACAGAGGTTAGATTTAGCCATTAAACTAGCATGTTTACAGTACGAAACTTAAGCTAACTTGCAACATCCATTCCATTCCAACTCCTCTGTTCCTCTTCACCCCTGAACCTAAAGATCTTATATCATCATAGTAACATCCCCATGATTTATTTACAGAGGTTAAAGGCAATTACAGAGACTAAAATTGCTTAACAACATAACATGCTTAAAACAGAAAACTGATCAAGACTTGAAACAAGCTTACATGCATTATACCAGAATCAAATTTAACACGTAAATATCATCAATATATTATATAGCAAGTAGGAAAGTTCCGATTTAATAATTAATTAAACCCTAGAGATTATCTAGGTGCACAGAACACAAGCCAAAGGGAAGGAAGAAAAGAAGAACTTGCCTGTGATTTAAGTAATGAAATCTCGGCGTCGTCTCTAAGTTTCCGGCAACTGCTAACTTCCTTCAAGCCTACTATGGGTTTCACTTAATCCACCACAACCCTCCCTTGATCCTCTCTATTATTCTCCTTGGTAGCTTTTATGATTTCCTCTATTCTCTCAACTTTCTCTTTGTTCTGTTTTATTTCCACTGTGCCGTGAATAAGGTTCTCCCAACCCTCAGTAAAAACTCATACACGTATATATATAGGCACTTAGAAAACCCTAATTAAACTAGAGATAAGACAGAAACATTAATCAAACTAGAGTCGGCCGATAAAATCCTAATCATGTATATATATAACAGATACTTATATGACGTCCCAATAAAACCCTAATCTTAAATAAAGAAATGAAAACAAATAATTAAATTAAAATAGTAAATCAAAGAATTAAAACTACATCATTTAAATCAACTTACCAAATAAACCAATTCAATTAAATCAAATAACCAATTAAATTACACAATTAAATCAAATAATGAAAGAAAACAATTAAACACCCAAGCAACTAGTCACATAAAATTGAAATAAAAATAATTGAAATTCCAATTTTATCCTTTTTAAAACTAGGGGTATTACATTCTTCCCCCCTAAGAAACGGAATTCCGTCCTCGGAATTCATAAAACCTTGAATTATTTTAAAATTCATTTTCGTTTCGTTGTGGACTCTGTCTCTGTGTATAGGCTCCCCCACCTCTGCCTCTGTGTAAGGTAAGCATATTCAATTAAATATTTTAACTCTGCTTGTTATGAATTAGTTGGTGTTTACATTCTTGATCTGTATTATCAACTTCTGGACGGATGGATTGTATGCACCGGTATGGGACGGTGACATACCAGGAATGGTTTAGTTTCAAAATACTAAATCGGACCTGTATTGGAATAAGGGAATGGATTATAAATAAATCCTACTTATATTTATGCTAAGTCAAAGAAGCTGCACAAGCTGAATGACTAGCTGGATTACTTGTTATGTATGTTGAGTCAAAGAAGCTGCACAAGCTGAATGGCCAACTGGATTTCTTATAGATGGATAGGATAGGACTTTAAATATATTTTTATGGTACATTGTGATGACCTTGTGGGCGGGTGTACCGTGGGCAGGTGTGAAAGACATTGTCAGGCTACCACACTGGCGAGCTACGGGTGTACAATCCCACATCGCCTGGGTAGAGGAAAGGTGAAATGCTTATATGTAAGTGTGTCATCTTCAATTGGTTTGAGGCCTTTTGGGGTAAAGCCCAAGAGCAAATCCGTGCAGGCTCAAGCCCAAAGCGGACAATATCATATCATGTGGTGGAGTGGGTCGTTGCAAATGGTATCAGAGCTTGACCCAGCCAGAAATGTGCCGACGGGGACGTCGAGCCTCCAAGGGGGGTGGATTGTGATGACCTTGTAGGCGGGTTTGCCGTGGGTGGGTGCGAAAGACACTGTCAGGCTACCACACTGGCGAGCTACGGGTGTACAGTCCCACATCGCGTGGGTAGAGGAAAGGTGAAGTGCTTATATGTAAGTGTGTCATCTCCAATTGGTATGAGGCTTTTTGGGTTAAAGCCCAAGAGCAAATCTGTTCGAGCTTAAGCCCAAAGCAGACAATATCATACCATGTGGTGGAGTGGGTCATTACAACATTGAACATCGCAAGAGGTTTGATGGGGTTGAGTTTCAAGATCTCTGCGATTTAGCAGACAGGGCCTCTCAGTATGAGGAAATACTAAAAGAAGAGAAGGAAATGAAGAATTCTTCTAAGGGTACTTGGTACAAGGACCCTAATTATGAGATATTCTCGGCAGAAGTTGGAGATGAATTAGAAGTTGACGTTGCAGAAGTCAATATCAAAAAGCTATACGTTTGTGAGGCATTGGTTAAACCTAAACCAACCACGGGGGGCAATTCATCAACATCAACATTGGCAGCAAGGAAAGGTCCTGCCGATACCGGTAAAAGTTATTCTTTCAACTTGTCAAAGACAGATCAAATCTTTGATCACTTGATGGCCGATAAAATGATATCTTTGCCTAAAGGGCATAGGATTCTATCGGCAAGTGACTTGAAAGGAAAAGAGTATTGTAAGTATCATAACTCTTGGAACTATGCTACTAATGATTACTATTCTACGAGGTGTGTTGTAGAAAGCTATTGACGAGCACTTTAAAATTCCTGGAGAAAACTTCAGAGACCATGAAGGTGGATACTAATCCGTTTCCAACAATCACATCTACAAATGTGATAAGCTTAGCCAAGCGAGAGAATGGGCAGGAGGCTGAGAAAATATCTGGAAAGCAAAAACCAAAGGAAGATATGCCATTGGAGGTTCAACCAAAGAAGAAAGGAATTCTTGAGAGGCTTATTTTCCCATTGAAGCCTGGGGAGGAGCCTCGGCAAGGTGGTACCAACGACAGCCATTGGAAAGTGGGAAGGCCAACTCGGCAAGTAAATATATCTAGCCAATTTCATCCTCAAAATCGGCATCCCAGTTTTAAAAGGCAGTCGCCGATTCAGTCAGAAATTTGGGTACAAAAATGAGCCGATTCATATAGAGTATGAATTGTGAAACCAAGGACAAACTCAACTGAAGATAGATGGACTCGAGTTAATTATCCAAAATTCCCTAAAGCACAACAATATCAGAACGGGGGCCTAACTCGATCTCAGAAATACACGGAACAAAGGAGAAGGGCTGAGCAAAAAAGGAAAGCTGAGGAAAGAGGCAAAGTAGTGCAAGCTGAGGAAGTCGGCATTCCAGATAAAGATGAGGAGCATCAGCCGATGTGGCCCAGATGCAACAATGAGTTCAGAATTCAGTTTGGCAGTTTTCCAGATGAGATGTCATGTAACATGGCATTTGTATTGCCTGCAATATTTCAAGCTCCATCGGCATCAAACGCAAATACTGAGAAGAACGAGAAGGAAACTCAGCCGATTCGGAATTTATCAATTCTTTCCTTAGAATCAACAGAGAAAGTGGTTTTTGAAAAACCTTTGACATCAATGACTCAATAGCTCAGGCCATTGTATGTTAAGGTGTGGGTAGAAGGTCAACCTATTTATCGAGTCTTGGTATGGCTCGGTTCTGAATGTTATTCCAGTAAACACATTGAAGAAACTCGGCAAGAGTATGAAAGATGTTATTCCTACTGATATAGCAATTTGTGGTTTCAACGGAGGCTCTACTAGCACTAAGGTTATCCTTCCCTTAGAAGTAGAAGTTGGAGGTAGGACAACTTTTGCGGCATTCTTTATTATTGAATCCACGACTTCGTATAATTTGTTATTAGGCCGTGATTGGATTCATCCAAATATGTGCATCCCATCATTATTACACCAGATGCTGATTTTTTGCGATGGAGATAAGGTGAAAATAGTAAATGCAGATGATAAGCCATTCATAGCAAAAGTGTACTCGGCAGATGCTGTTTTGTATGACGAAGAATGTGTTCCTATTCGATTTGTGGGAACAGGAGCAGATGGAAGACCTACATCGGCAACCATAAGAAGAAGTCTTGCCGATCGCGAAATCAGCGAGTTGCAGCAGGAGAATTCCAGGCCGAAGGTAGCACTCCCTCGGCTTGCTATAATTGAAGAAGTTGTTGATGGAAGCAAAACTTGAAAGAGAAGCAGCTCGACAGCAGGCCTTTAGGGCCGTTTGCATTAGGCTTCAAGCATACATAGCTGAAAAACGGCTAGAAAAAGAAGCAATAATAAAGCTAGGACCATCAGTTAATCTTACTGAGATCGATCGGTTTAATAATGAAAAGTTGGATGCAATTTAGTTGGAAGACTTAGAGTTAGCTAAAGCTAAACTCGATGATCTTAAAGCAGAAACTCAGGATACATTAAAAGAGGTGAATTTAGGCACTGAAGTAGAGCCTAGACCAACCTATATTAGTGCATTGTTAGAACCAGAATTGCAAGCCGAGGTTATCGGCATGTTGAAGCAATATAGTGACTGTTTTGCTTGGAATTATAAGGAAATGTCGGGTTTACCCAGAGATCTGGTAGAACATCGGTTGCCCATTAAAGATGGCTACAAGCCATATAAACAGCCACCTCATCGAATGTCTCAAGAGGTGGTAGACAAAGTCAAGGTGGAGATCGAACGATTATTGGATGTTGGCTTTATTCGAACTACAAGGTATGTTGAATGGTTATCAAATGTAGTTCTTGTTATCAAGAAGAATGGAAAATTACGTATATGTGTTGATTTCTGAAACATAAACTTGGCAACTCCAAAAGATGAGTATCCAATGCCGATAGCCGATCAGTTGATTGATGCTGCTGCAAAGCACCAAATTATGTCTTTTATGGATGGACACTCAGGCTATAATCAGATTTATATAGCCGAGGAGGATATTCCAAAGACAGCTTTTAGGTGTCCTGGATCGATTAGAACTTTTGAGTGGGTGGTGATGCCTTTTGGGTTGAAGAATGCTGGGGCCACATATCAACGAGCCATGAATTCTATTTTTCATGATATGCTCGGCAAGTTTATTGATAAGCGCCGAATATTATATATTCAAACGCCCTAAATTGCATTAGTTAAGTCAATCTTTTGATTATTTATGTAGATTATCTCCATTTCCATGTTTTTATACATTTTCAGGTTCATTGGCCAAAAAGAAGCAAGGTTGAAGTTTTGTTGTAATTTTGGATAAGAAAGGCACAATGCTGAAGCTTGGCAGCAGTGGAACCTGACTTTTGTCGCCATTTTCGACCTAGCAAACTCAAGAACTGGACTTCCATCATAACATGAAAGATTTAGAGCTCTGAATCTGCTTTCCAAATCTTTAAGCGGTTCATCATTCGGAGTTCGGAACAGAGAGTTATGATCTTCTTATTAGAGGTGCTCAGAATTGCCTGGCAGCAATGAAAGTCTGCTTTGTTCTTCAATTTTGACAAAACAGACTTGAGAATTAGATCTCCACCAAAACATAAAGTTTTTAGAGATCTGAATTAGCTTTCCAAATCTTCAAACAGTTCATCATTCGGAGTTTGGAGCGCAAAGTTATGGCCATTTTACCAAAGTAGGTCCGGGCGGAGCAAACCAAGCATAGGGCATTCTGGCCAATTTTCGAGTGCTCGAGGCCTTATTTCGAGTGCTCAAAATTAGGGCAGATTGTTTCACAAGATCAGCCACTTGTGCTCAGAAATTTGCTAACTTTGTATGCTCTCTTTTTTTGAGTTGGTTGGGGATGTTTCTTGGAGGAGAGAGAGGGCTTTTTGGGTGGAGTAACATGTCTACAAAAGAGGGGAGCCACACATTACTTAGGATTAAGCTACATTTTGCAAGATAGAGGAGAGAGAAGAGAGCAAGAAAAGAAGGTGTTCTTGAAGCTTAAAGGAGGGAGCTCGAAAATTGGAGATGGAATTCAAGCTTCTTCTTCATTCTAAGGCTCCAATGGGTAACTAACTCTTCTTCTAGGGAGGTGATGAAGTCCCTCCCTTGTAAGCATGTTCTAGTGTAGATTTTATTTTGGGATTTCAATGTATAACCTATGGTCTTTTCATGGTCTAGAGCATTTTGCTTCTTGTAATGGATCTTCATGTATTTTAATGATTATTGTTGAATTAATTATCTATCTTAGATGGTTTATTCTTTTAATCATAGTGCTTGCACTCTCATGTTGACAATGGTAGTGAGATCATGGAATAGTTTTAATGGCATGAAGTTGGAGAACTTTGGTAGTCCATTGCTTAGGTTCCCCCTTTGATGGTCTATTCTTGATTCCTAACTTTATGTGCTTTCATCATTCAATTAAGGGCTTGATAATCTTTGGCTTAGGGAGCATGTTGAAGACTACACCCTAGTTTAGGTAGTTTAAACATGTATTTCTTTGATGGATTATTCTTGTTTTTGATTCAATGAACCTCTTGAGGATATTATAGCAACCAAGGGTTGTTATGTATCATGACCATCATTTATGTTGATTTCCCGAATTTAAATTTAGCCTAGCATGTGTATAGGGATGGAGACGGATTCACTTCCTTAGTTTTTCTTACTCGTATCTTATCTCGCTTCAATTCTTGCAAGTTTCTATTTCATGCACTTCATATATTCAATTTAGTGACAAACAAACAACTCCTTATTTCCCCTTCATCATTCTAAGAACGATTCTAGACATTTAGGTTGCCTTAGACTAGCACAGTTCCAGTGGTTCGACTTACCCGACCAATAGCCCTATTTTATAATGATTCGTGCTATTGCAAAGGTTGATGTATAATTGACCAACCGATCAATTTTTGGCGCCGTTGCCGGGGACTTGCAAACGGTTTAGCAACCAAAGTTTAGGGTTAAATTTAGTTTGATTGTGCATATTGTGTTTTGTGCATATTTTTCGTGTGGTTTAACCATTTTCGTGTTGTAAGATTCTAGGGACTCGAATCTCGCCGTGGGAATGCTAGCAAAGCGTAAGTCTAGAGGACCCCAGGTAAGTTTCTTGACCTTTTAGTTTCGCATTGTTATATATTGTGCATGTGTTAAGCTTAGAAGTAGTTAATTTATTTGCAAGCCCTTGTTGAGGCTATATTATTGTTTTAATTTCGTGTTCAAGCATCGGTCCTTGTCGTGGCCATTTATTTTCTATCTTGATAATTGAGGAGAAAGGGAACATCGTATGTGGAGTTGTGGATAATGAATTGCTTTGTTGATTATATGCTGTGCTGTTGATGTTCGGTCGTAGGTCACTCTCTCTACCCACAATCGATTCGCCCATTGATATCAATTCTCTTGAAAGAACTCTTAGAAGAAACCTTAGGGAATCTACTCTTACAAGGGATCTTGAAACTGAATTTAATATAATGGGAGATAATATAGGAAATCCAGGGAATGAAAGGGATGAAATTCCTAATATCGAGCCAATGACTCTTAAAGATCATTTCATCCCTACCACCTATGCTTCTCCTTCTTACATAGTAATGCCAAACATCGATGCAGCTCAATATAAGATCAAATCAAGCACCATCCAAATGCTTTCATCATTTCATGGCTTTGATAATGAAGATCCATATAAGCATCTTGATGAGTTCCTTGAAATCTGTTCGACCATCTGGTTGAGAGGTTTTCCGGACAATGCACTCCATCTCCATCTTTTCCCATTCTCCCTAAAGGATAGGGCAAAATATTGGTTGAACTCCCTCGCTCCC